AGCAGTTGCCGTTGCTTACACCTGAGGTGTTAAATTATGTCAAGCTAAGTGGAGGGAAACCACAGTGTCTCTGTGGGCATAGGAGAGGTTCTTCAGAGCAGCCTAGAGTCATTGTGCCATGGAGAGAAATTGAAGCTGACACATCAGTGGGTATGGGGAACAGGCACATGCCAAGAAGACACATGTGGGGGTCATGGAGAACTGGCCTGAGAGTATCCACTGCTCAATGGTGTGCAAAGAACCAGCAGATCCAGGTGCTCACTGCTCTGAGAATGAGTTGACTGGAGAAATGAATTTCTAAGTGTACCAATAAAGCAATTTCTCCAGCTTTAATTTATCTACATCTTATTTGACACGTTGGGGTAATCATTTGGCCTCTGCTGCTCCATCCACATTCTCGTTTTTCTAATTTCTGTCATGTCTTCCTAATTAATATTGCCCAAACCTATCCTTTTCTCTCTCCTCTCTGTTAAAACATTTTCCTACAACACATCTGTCTCTATATTTCACTAGTTTAATGTCTTCAAATTCCTTCTTAAACTGTGTCTTGTGTGACAACGAGTGATCCTGAAATTAGGACTGTATTGTAGTGTCACCCTACAACAGAATTAGACTTAGCCTTGTGCGAGCATGAAGAACAGCTCCTCTCACATTGACTACTTGCCTTAGTAGCCTTAATAGTGTTTTTTTTTTTACTAGAGTTTTCTTTTCACCTTGTGTACAAACTGGTCACATTTAGATTACCTACATAACTGAAAGGGGAATTATTACCAGAACCATTAAGACCAGCACATAGATGTATTTCATGCTTTCTGACATTTAGGATACCTACACATAGAAGAATGTACACACATGCAGTGGAAGGCGAGAGATACAGTGCAGTCTCTGCCTTGCACAGAGACAAGCTCCAGGATGATGAAGTTGCTGTTTGGGCTGTGGCACACTGTGACGCTGTGCAAGACTTCCTAGATCAGCCTGCTTTGAGAATGGGAGTCACTGTCTTCAAGGAGCATCCAACTAAATGTAATATTTCCCCGAGACAATGATTCCTGCTCTAGCTCTGCCATCCCACTACAAAGGGACAGCATGGCCCAGTAGAAGAAACACATTGGCAGTGAAAGAAGTACATGGGAAGAGGCTGCAGGTATCAGCTGGGCATTGAGTGAAGGACTAGTGGGAGAAGAGAGAGAAGGGCAGAACGGTGAAGAGCTGTGGAGGTGAAATCGGTAAGTCTGAATGCGAGAGGGTGGACAAGGCAGTGCCTGAGGAGAAACCCAAGGATGGTGGTGTTGGTTGGTGTGATGGAAGCTCAGGCCGTTGAGATAGATAAGGTGTTGGTGAGTGGGAAGGAGGAGTGTGGTCTGCAGTTGGCCATATTACAGCTGCATCAGGGCAGGGGGTGGAATAAAAGCCAGAGGTTTGAAAAATTGTAAGAGAAAATGAAGGATATGGGTCTAGCCTGGATATGTGCAGCAGAAGAAAAGTCAAAGGCAAAGAAGCCTCACAATTTAAAGTCGTTTTTTCAGTGAGAATCAGGGTTATTTATCAGGCAGTCTTATGCGCTCCAGCAAGCAGTCCTGCTATAGAGAACAATAGACATATTTTGAGCACTTTCACATTTTATACGTGAGATTGGTGTTTACTGTAGCTTGCATTCCTCACTGTTCCTTGTCAGCTGGGAGGCAGCAGAGTCTGAATTGGGAAAGTCAAAAGCTTCATGACCGCAGCATGGTTTCTTCAGCACATATAGGAACTAAAGGTTCTCTGCAGGTCATGAACTCCAGAAATCAGAAGAAAGGCTTGTGTCTGATCTCGCTTTCTTCCTAACACTCCAGTGGCTGCCCCTACACTGTCCTGCTGGTAGTGGCGAAAGGAGGTAACTTTCTGCTGGAAATGCAAGGGAGAATTTAGAGCCAAACAGAAAGGAATAAAAGTCCTATTTTGCAATGCTGCACCACTGACTCACTAACTTTGAGCGAGCTCCTTACAGGTAGTTCAACAGTGAGACAAGAGCAGCAAATGAAGTATTTTCTGTTCCCATGGAAAAAAACACAGTGACATTTTTCTCCATAGAATTTTTTTAAGTTTGTCTAAAGCAGGACTTCTTGACAATTTCTCGGCAACCTGGGGCTAGACTCTGTTACAGCAATTTACTTGGGATCTGCATAGCAGATACATTTTAAAAGGTCATATAATAGTGGAATATATTTCTGGGGCCAGACAGAATTGTCCCCCCAGGCTACCAGTTGGAAAGCTCTAGCTGGGTGAAAAAAAAGCAAAACAGAATGCAAATGCTATGTTTTTACATGTTGAGATTTGGGAAATGTTTAGGCAGAAAAGGAAAGAGTTTTCATACTTTCAAAGTTAACAAATTCCCCTTTTCTCCTTTAGGAAAATGTTTTTTTGGTTTGTTTTTTTTTTGTTTTTTTTTTTTAATTGACTTTCTGAACAAAGAATGATAATCAACACTAGCTTCAATGGACCTAGCAAAACAAATGAAAGGCCTGATTTCCTGTAATACCCTCCACATTTTCACATTTCTCTAAAGCTGAAGATCATCAGGGTGGGAGGTTTGGAAGAGCAGTGTGACATACTTATGATAGTTAGCTACCTGTAATTCTTCTATCTCTGTCCTTCTGGAAGTGGTGCACGTGACAACATAGTCAACATGTTTGTCTGAGACCAACAGTCATAGCAGGCACTCAGCTCTATAAGAAAGTAAGTTAAAACCAGAGAAAACTGTGACTGGACACCTGAGGCCCAAAAATGACTAGACTTTTATATTTATGTCGCAGAAGCTAATATAAGTTGACTAAGATCCACTGGCAATCTCTAATTCCTGCTTTTGCTTGCCTATGCACTTGAGTCTACACATCTAAAGGACACCATCCTGCTTTCAGGCTGAAATATCCCACCATTAGTTTTGGAGATTACTTTATAAAACAAGCTAACGTTTAGGTTCTCCCAGTAAGACTCAATGTTAAGAAAACTTTCTGCTAAGATCTCTCAGTTCCTGCTCACCTATCAGCCATGACCTCACAGTACCTTGGAAGCAGCAATAAAGCCAGTCCCACAAACTAGGTACATGTTCCTGTTCTCCTTAAGCCTTGTAGCCAGAGAGCCTTTGAGCTAAGGAGATAAGGTGAATACCCATCCAGAAGATACTCTCCCTTACTGGATGTGGCTCTCACCTCATTTCTCCATTTACCTTTGTTCTT